GTGTGTGTGTGTGTGTGTGTGTGTGTGTGTGTGTGTGTGTGTTGGCTCTGACATTTCAGTTATGGCTGAGCCTTGGGTTTTGGGTTTTTGTTTTGTCGCTTCCCGGGCATAAACAGGCTGGAGTTTCAGGTTCAGGGCGGAGGGGCAGGCAAGGGGATTGTCATTCCAGTTTCTCTTTCTGGCCCTGGCCTGTGGTTGCTGCTGGGAAGGAGGAGTGGGGGGAGAAGATGGGGGTCTGTCTGCAGCTGCCCCTCTCACACTTGAATAAAAGAACTTTTTTTTTTCAGGGGTAGGGAAGCTGTGAATACCTTTCCCAATAAGAGATGAGGCATATTGAAAACTATATTAAATTACCCTGATTAACAATTTAGCCACGAACAGGGGAGCTTTGGGAGATCTCTATAGGCAGGACTGGGGGCTATTCATGCCAGCAGCTAAGAGGTCGAAAGGTTTCTGAAGTTCACAGGCTCAAAGCCTTTGTTATGCTAACAGACAATCTCAAATCAGCTGCCTAGTGGAGTGTGAAATATAAATGATTCCTTGAGAACTTCCAATAAGTTGTCATTCTTGCTCTCCAAATACCAGGACAGGCTGCTAATTTCTAGCAGGCCCTTTTGCAACATTGCTAGCCCTAAATGAATGCCTCTGTAGTTCAAATCATCTTTTCAAGGGAGCTGTCCTATCATCATAGACCCAATGCATCTTGGTTTTGCCTATTAAATGAAAATCAGGGCTCAGCCGTGCTTGACTTTTCCAAGCACCCGATGTTTGGGAAGGGTGGCGGCAGCTCTCATGGACAAGTTAGCACCCACTGCAGGAGGGCCATGGCATTAATAACAGCCCACAGCCCCAAGCTACCCAACTCCGCACCCCCACTCTCCACCAGGAACAAAGCTCTGAGAGAGATTTACGGGGCTCCCCTCAGGCTGGACTACCTTCCCTTTCAACTCCACCAACATTTCTCTGATTTATGCACCCTCTGTCCAGCTGACCTGCTAGCATCTGACTGGTCACTTCGAAGCATCAACTTTGGGGTGAATGTATTCATTCTCCAGAGCACACCAGGACAAGAGGGGGACAAGGCATGTGTCCAGGCTGTACCTCTCCTCTCAGATGCTTGTGGATGTGATTTCATCATTTTTCCCATCAGAAGAATAAATACATGGCTGATGATCTTGGGTGTGACCTTTGAGTACGTCCAGATGGACAGAAAAGGTCTTGGCTCTCAATCTGAATTGCAAAGCTTTTAAAGTAAGGAAAACCACCTTCTATGCCAAACTCCAAACTAGTGGGAACAGTAGGAATGTGAATCTATCAGGGAGAGTGTGCCCAGATTAAACATTCTAGCAGGAAGAGACAAGGCCAATTTACACAAATAAAGAAAACACACAGAAGAGAGGACAAAGCCCCAATGAAATGAGAAGCCCATCTGCTCAGTCTTCACAAAGGAACAGCAGTAATAACTTGGATCCTAAAATTTTCGACATTTCTGACCACATTGTCAACTTTTTTGCTGAAACACAGGTCCATAACATGAGAAGCCTCTGTTTTTTTTCCAAAGAGAACAGGTTTGATTTTTGAGGCAAGAAATGGGGGGAAAATCAAATAGATTAAATTCCTTAATATATTCTTGGGGCAAACTTCTAAGTGCAAAAATATAAGCAGTGTTTTAAATGCATCCTTAGGTAACTTTATATAGCTGAAAGATAGAGGGCCTTAATTTCCCTTCATCTTCTATCTTATTCTTCTAACCACAATTTTAAAATGCTACATCAAACTTATTTTGAGGGTGTTCATTTTGATGGACACAAAAACTGTTTAACTAAACTACTTTTTCTTTCCTATGTAGACTGAGATTTATGACCATATATTAAAATATTAACTAAAAATCAATAAGAACAGTAGTGTAACTTTCTTTTTTTTTTTTTTAGTAGTGTAACTTTCATCAGTTTTTGAAATCATCTAGCCTACACATTCAAATGTTGTTTCTTAAAAAAAAAAAAAAAAAAAAAAAAAAAAAAAAAAAAAAAAAAAAAAAAAAAAAAAAAAAAAAAAAAAAAAAAAAAAAAAAAAAAAAAAAAAAAAAAAAAAAAAAAAAAAAAAAAAAAAAAAAAAAAAAAAAAAAAAAAAAAAAAAAAAAAAAAAAAAAAAAAAAAAAAAAAAAAAAAAAAAAAAAAAAAAAAAAAAATCCAGGCTACAAAGCACAATCCTAAGGGACTCTGGGAGTAGAAAGAAGAGTGTTTAGGAACCAGGTCACTGTTTGTCTTTCAAATCCTTGTTTCACTAAATAATAATATTGCCTAAGAAAATTAGGTGAGGTTACCGATATCAAAGGAATAAAAAGTATTATAGTTTCTTCTGCCAAATATCAGGATTAGACAATCATTTGTTATTGATCAGCTCACACACTTCTCAGAGGACTTAGCATCCTTGTTCTCTATTTCAGAAACAGTAGAAAGACTGGCCCTGGACGTATATAAAAAGAAGGCCACATAGATAGCTAAAAGTCTGGGGGATGTGAGACAGTATGCTTTAAATTTAATTTTTCATCCTTTTTCCAATTAAAAATGTAATTAATATTAAACTATAGAAGGTCTACATGTTAGGGACATAAGCTGAACATTCAAAGGAAAAATATTTCCCCTGTGCTTTCCAAATACTTATTTTGCCACTTCGAAGTGTCCTCTCTCTTTCGTCGTTAACACATCAAAACAGGGAAGAAAGCGCTTTTGTGTTATAACTACAGAGAAAACATTGGAGAATGTGTCAATGCTGTGAATACCAGCACTAGTTTGGGGGTTAGTTTGTTTTTCCCCCTGCCGTGGTATTTCTTTTCCCTCTGCTTTTGCAGTCTTTAAACTGTGGCCACTTTGAGAAAAGCAATGATTGAAATGAAAAGTTAGGACAAACTGCACTAAACCTGCGTGTTTCTAGAATATGAGCATGATGAAAGCAGTGCTGGACATGACAGAGCACTGCAGCGCTCTGCATACGGAAAAATAAAATTAAATTAAAAAAAGGAAGAAAACGAAGCTGGTCTTTTTCACTTTTCCCCTAAATGCCTGTGATCTAAGAGAAAGGGAATTTCTGTTTAAAAAGAAAAGAAAAAAGTTTCCAGGGTTGCCGTCTCTCCAGGGTGGGGTGTGTGTGTTTAGGGAGAAAACACAGAGTGGGGGAGGAGGGAGGGCAGACAACTTTACTAACATATTAATTCTTTAGATAGCGGCAAATGAATGGTCCAAATAGACATTTGTTTCCCTTAATAGGTTTTGTACAGGTCTCTTACAAGCTGTGGCATATGCTTCATTTATATGTATATTTATTTAGAAGGATAGAGAATAATAGGTGCAGTTTGTCTATAGTCGCAGTTATTATTTAAAGTCCAAAGAGGTTACAACTTTTTTTCTATTCCAAACACAAATACAAAGGTCTCTTCAACATGCCTCTGGCTTTGCATTGAGGGCCAATTAAAAATAAAGATAATATTCTAATTATTGCGCTTCAGGAGGAGAAAGAATGGGGCTAAAAGGCAAAATGATTCCAAGATGGCTGCCACTTCCTCCTTCCCCTCCTTGCTGCCTGTTTTCCACATAAAAATTAATGCAATATTTTGTTTAGAAATCACATTGTAGGTCATTTGCAAATGAGGCAGCCTCAGAGGCACCAACATCTGCCCAGAATGCCCTCCTGATGCCATGGAGGTATGGAGGCAGATTAAAATGCAAACATTCAAATGTATTTAGGTTTGTGCACAGTCAGTAGACTCACACACATACACACTTGAATGTGTGAACCATACCCACGGCTGCAGATGCAATAAAAGGCCAAAATCCCTCCTAATTCTTAGGATAGAAGGGCAAAGGAGGGCTGCGGGCCACCACCTTCCTCCCCAAAGGTTAGAAAAAGCACTGTTCATGGTCTGGATTCGATTTTTTAAAAAAGATATATCTTACTGATGACTCTCTCATTAGGCGGACTTCTGAAGTCTAGGGAGACAAGATTTCCATAAATTATCTCTCTAACTCATCTCATGCTGGTACCAAACGCAAAGCTCAACTTGCTTTTCTAAAAATTTTCTTATATTTTTTTTATAAAGAGAATACGAAGCTAATCAGCTTCTCAACAAACATATTAAAGGATTAAGATCACCACTAATTACTACTATTAATTATAATCAATGCCTATTTTTAATCGTAAAATTCCACCCATAAAGCTAAATTTAAAATAATTCAGAGAATAAATAAAAGTATATTTTGTGCTTTCTAACAGATTTATAGCAGTTTGCTGTGTAGACTTGAGTGAACTAGGCATAGAACAAAGCAAATGGTTTAGTTCCTATAGGAAATATATTAGAAAGAAAAAAAAAGGAAAAAAAAAAAACCCACAACCCTTTATCTAAAAGCCATCAGGGACAAGCACTCAATACAAGTTAACAAGCAGGAACTGATAAGATAACATTTATATGAGGTCAGAAGTCAAATGCCAGTCAAAGGCTTTTAACCTCTTGGGTCATAAACAGGAATAGTTAAAAGTGAGAGGTGGTTATTTATCGGATTTTAAGGGTACCTGATCATTGCCAGAAGATCTCCGAAGATGAAACTAATTGGGATTTATAGAAAAAGGACTTTGTAGCTTCTCAAAGAAAATTAACCCACAAATCCAAGATTCTTCAGTTGGTAGGGAGAAAAACAAACAAACAAAAACCCCTGGGGGGGTAAATCTAGTAATTTAAATGGATTTAATAACAAAAATCTCAGAAGCACTCATTTAGGGCTATTGTACACATCGCCTAAAATACAGAAAACTCTATTTTTACAAATTCTATCTTAAACATTTACAACAGAATAAGCATTACACAGTTTATTTCCAGGTTTTGTTTTTTCTGTTACTCTTCTCAGACCTCCTAAATTAGACAGAACACAACTCCCAATCTCACGATACTCTTTGCCCTCAGAATGCCATCATTTTGCGATTTTAAAATTATGTATATATTCTAATAGCAATTATTTTAAAGCATTGAAATATCAAAACTGCTTAATTAAATTTTTTTCTTGATCTATCCAGAGAAGCAGATGTCTTATTTACTACAGGAATATTTTTTTCTTTGTTTTGATTTTTGTCTTTTTTTCTTGCTTCTTTTCAGCTTACATTCCAAACTCCCAAGCAGTTCCTGGTCTGAGTCTACGCTGGTTTATATTTTCAAAGCATACCCACCCCCCTTTTTTCTTTTGCAATAAAAGAAAGCAGATCTAGATATTTCTTTCTAGAGAGAGATAGAGGGATTGTTGTTAGGCCTGCTAAGGCCCACTGTTTCTTTAAACAGAGTCCACAATACACTAGGCGAACATTGTGGATTTAAAATGCTTTTAAATATTTATCACTAGTATTTTATCATCATATTCAAATGACACCTGGAGTGCACTCACCTTTATTGACAATCTCTGTTCTGAAAGTCCATTTGCTTCCTTAAAGCCCCCCAAGCAGAACAAGGACTACCCGTTTTCATTCAGTTAATGTTTAGTAAAAAACCAAGCAACCTTAATCAGCATGCTGATTGCATCGTCAACTAACAAATAATTTACTACTCTGAGCATTGCATTCCATTAAAAGCTCATTAAATTTTCTGTTCTCCAATGGGAGGTTTAGCTTTTGAACTGCATGCTTTTGCTTCGAATGATCATTTATTCAATTTTTGCAAAATGTTGTGGGTTTTTTTTTACCCTAAAGTATAGGTGAGCATTTTGATACCTATAGACTGCAAACATATGGAAATGCAGCCCAGGGTTTGAGAGTGTTCAATTTGATTTACAAACTCCAGTTTCATAAAAATTCAAAATAATCTCTTGTACTTTTAGGACATAATGAAATAACTGAGTTTATCTATGGTTATAAGGATCCAAACATAGCCTCAGAAATATTAATACATTACATAAATTATCAAATCTTTTCTTAAAGCTTGAGTGTTTTTCTACAAATCACAGCTATTATTATTTTTATTTTTTAAATTATTTTTAATCCTGGTACATAGTTGCTGTCTACTGATTCAAAAAGGGGCAACATATCACAAAGCTTTTACCTTATTTGATGCCAAACTTAAAACGGAGGAGGGGTAGTAACCCAAAGAAATCCCCATTTTCTGGGGTTTGCACATTTTCTGCAAACCCCTAATCCTCTGAATTGTTTTCTTGCCCAGGCTCATCTAGGAAAGAGTATATTTATAATTTTTAATTTAGGGAAATGTAGGAAATTAACATGCATCTTTGGTCTGCTAATTGTGCTCATTGCAAATTTGGGTCATTTTGCATGAGTGACTCTAATGTGGGGCTGAAATTGCCGCGCAGCTCAGTGGATTCCTGACTCCCCGCGCTAATCCTGAACTCGGTGATTGTGTCAGGTGCAGCTCTGTGTGCTCTAGCAGCTGGCTCATCCTCATCAATGCAAATCAGGCAACTCCTACAATCAGAGCCTCGCGAGTGTGAGGCCCACTGCGGAGGGCGGGCCAAAGCACTACCACAAGCTCACTTTCACATCACGCCGAGTGACAAGACATCTATTCCTTCTTCCTGTTCAAAATCAGCCTTCGAAAACAAAACAGGAAGAAGGGGCTGGCTACAAAGGAGGGGAAAACCTCCGTGTTTGGGAAGTGGACTTGTTTAGATGGGCTTGATTTAGACACACAGATAATGCAAAGGGCATTTCATCAAATAATTATTCAGCTTCTATTCTGTGCAAGAGACTTTTAAGAGCTGCAGGGGACGCAAAGGTAGGGGAGGCACAGTTCCTGACTTTAAGGAACCTTATGATTTGATTGCAGAAAATTGTAAAGAGGAAGATAATAGCAGAAGTATTATTAAGGAACAGTCACCAAAGTCTTAAATGAAAACCGTAAAGCACTTTGAAGGGAACTGTTTAGAGATGGCATTGTGGCATAGACATTAAGAGTGAGGCTCTGAAAGCTTCGAGTTCAAATCCCAGCTTTGCCTCTTACTTGCTGAAGCTACTTCACCTTCCGAAACTGTCAGGTCATTGTTGGCAAAATGGTAGTGGCCCTGCCCCACAGGGATTTTAGGAAAATGACACTGGATCACGGAAACACCTCACCACCGGCTTGGCACATAGTAAATGCTCAATAATGTCAGCTATGGTCGTTATTATTCCCTCCTCAAGGCAGAGAGAAAGAAGGAATCCAGAAATAAGAAGGCACCACAGTTAGAAGATGTTTATTTGATCTTGCCTCTAAATTCCCATTCTATGTGTAGCACTTACCCCGTGGAAGAGAAACACTGTGAACGCTAAAAAGCACTGTGCCTCTCAGTGGGACCTGGCCAGCCCTGGCAACTCGGAACACGAAGGAGAGAACAAGAAATCCCTGTGCTTTTCCTTTTCTTCTTTTCCAAACAAGTGTGCAGACTTCCCCTGCATTTCAGCCCCACCCTCTTTATTTTCCTGCCTAATCTATAAAGGAGGATTAACAGCAGCACGCTGCTTTGGCACGGAGCAGATTCTGGGTGAGGACCTGTAGGTAGAGTTTAATGAATACAATTTTCTAGCACTGTGAGTGCATATTTTTAGCTCATGCTGGGCTCCAGCACTGGCTCTTGAGACAAATGAACGGACCCTTTGATCAGACTTAGGTGTTGCTCCAAGAAGAAACCCTTTTTTAGAAAGTAGTTGGGGGAAAACCGTATTCTCCTAATTTGTACTCTCTAAATGCAAATTTCAAATACTGGCCTTAGTCCCAACCAGTTGCATTAAGGGATTGAAGAAGACCATTGTAAGGAAGAAAGTACTCCCAAGCGGGACTGGATCGGCTTTCCGGGTAAAGAGGACGGATGGCTAGTAGGCAAGTGTGCCGTTGACATCCTTTCCCCTTTGAGAGTAAGGCAGAGGTAGTTAACCTTCCCGGGGGAGATTTGGCCTAGGCAACATCATAGACACCATATCCCCCCTGGAGTTTCCAAACAATAAAACCGCTCCCTTTGCCAAACACAAAGAATGGTCTGGAGTTGGATATTAGCAAACAGCAAACCACATAAAGAAGAAAGGAAAGGCGGGTGGGAGAAGGAAGAAAAGAGTAGGAAGAAGAATGGAAGAAAAGAAGGAAAATCGTGTTAAGAGAAAAACATATAATAAGGTTTCTTTTCTCCTTTAGTTTTCCACGGACAGGACAGCCATGCAGTCCTGCCTTGGTTTTAGCCTGTGCCAGGCGGGGATAGGGAGGTGGGGAAGAGGGGATTTTGATGTAATGCCCAAGAGGTTGGGATGCCACTCGGGGTCTTTTGGAAATAGCTGAGATTGTAATACCTTGGCACTGGGAGAGTATGTGCAAGATGGGGAAGGATTTGATCTTTCACATTCCTGCTCAGGACCCTCTCCTTCTCTTTCTAATAGGATTAACAGATATTTTCCTAAGCAGAAATCAAAATGTGTCAAATCATCTGAGACAGTCAATTTGTTCACAATGCCCACATTCGCAGTACCGATGCAGCACTATTCAAAACCAGTTTCATTCCAAGAGATACAATGCAGCAGAGAGGTAAACATTTATCTTCATAATCTTACTCTCCTTTCAGACTGCTTAATTTTTCTCAGTGATTCTCTCCTCCTCTTTCACTCCCCCAGCCCCCACCTCATCTCGGCTTCAAAACATCTAATATAGAAAAAGACGTGACTTCCCCCGAGGATTCAGATCTCAGTGATCCTGATGATGCAACGTGTGCTCTCCATTATTCCTGGGAGCTCCCCGGATGTGCTCCTGTATCCTCCCTCACAGCTCCAGTGGGCCTTATTTTTGCATCACTTACACAGCCTCCTGCAACACCTGCAAGGGCTACCTCCACCTCTTCCTCCCACCTCGTCCCCAGTTATCAGAACTCCTTCCCCAACCCATCCCTACACTCCCTTTTCATTGTTATTATTGCTATTATCATCCTCTCCACAAGCGCAGCCCTCTTCTGCTTCTCCTTAGGGAGGCATTAAGTTCCCTTCCTTTGTGCTACCTCAAAACTGCTTGTCCTCCTCAGCTCCCTTTGAACACTACAGACCACTGTCACCTTTGCAACAATGAATGAAAGTGGTTAGAGTAGGATTCCAACTTCACATCTCTGAAGAATCACATGCATTTTTCAGCCCTCTCCTCACCTCCCTTCCTTTTCATTGAGACTCTGTAAGATAGCAGCAATTAGAAACTCTGAAATGAATAGAAACAATAGCTACCGGTGTGTTTTATTCTTAAGCCTTGAATAGTAGACATTTAGCAAGCAGAATAAAGCCCTGAGTTTATTCCCTTTCCTTACCGCTTTGCTTAGCGTGGATCCGGAATGTCCCCAAAAGGCCCACGTGTTGGAGCCTGGTACGCAGCTTGGTGCTGTTGGAAGGTGGTAGAACCTTTAAAAGGTGGAGCCTGTGGGAGGTCTGGAGTCCCTGGGGCATCCCCAAAGGAACTGTGGGACCCCATTTCCTTCCTTTTCCTCCGTTTTCACCTCCAGGCCAGGAAGTGTCTGGCTGTGCTCCATGCGCTTCAGCTAGGGAGTGTGCCTGGCCACAGGCCCAAGGCCGCAGGGCCAAGGGGGCAAGGACAGAGACCATCCATGCTGTGAGTCAAAATAACCTTTTCTTTTCTATGTCCCTTTATCTTGGGGATTCATCATAGCAATGGAAAAGTAATATATCATTTCTATTTTCAGCATACATATATACTTTTTGAAAAGTGGATTCTGACAGAGATTTCCATAACAACATGTTTCCTATTGATATATTTTAGGTATATATATACATAGACTGCTAGAATGCTGTATGTGATCATGGTGTCAAAAATATGATAAATTCACCCATTCTGCTTTCTGCCATCTTCCCTCTCCACCATGTTCCCTTCCCACCCATTAAAATCCTAAGCATTCTGCAGAATCCAGTTTTACAGCACGTTTCCGCAAGGAAATTTTCCCAGATCCTCCCAGAAGAGGTCCGCTCCCTCACTCAGGACTCAGACGCAGGTGACCACGCCTCTCTCTATCACCCCTGGAAGTTAGGCATTGTAATCCAGAACCTGCCGATGTCAGTCTGCACACCACACCATGAACCCTGGGGGATCCTCGTTCTGTTCCCTCTGCCAGCCCCATCAGCGGCTCTGATGGACATCTGTCCCCTGGGGTGGCCTCCTGTCTTTCCACGTCCGAGAAAAGCCTCCCTCTCCCTGTCTTGAATCTGTTTGGACCAAGGAGACATCAAGCCACTGCTCAGCCACTTCTCCCTCCCCAGTTTCCACTTACATTTGACAGTAACTCTGAGGCTCCCACCGTTAGAATTTCTAATACTTTTTCATCTAAATGTTCATCTTTAGTAAATACATAACAACATGGAGTGTGAAGTGAGGGAATTAAAAAGTGCTATCTTATATCTGAATGAATAAATCACTTATATTAGCTCTTCTGTGTCTAGCCTGGTCTGGAATTGGCGACAAATACCTAGGCATCAGCACTCTTTGACACCATGTATTCATTTATTAGTTTTTAATTTTTTACTCACTCTGACAAGTTGTTTACTGTGTCACTTGG